CCACCGGTTTATTCTAGACCTTCAGCATCACTGCAGACACATCAAGTCCAGACAGAGCAAGATGACCGCCACGTTACTTAAGCTCTACACCATGGCCAAGTCACCAGAGGGAACAGTTGTCTGTGTGTAGAGACGGTATAGAAAAAGAAAAATTAGTTCTCATCTCCCGTTTTGCAATATTCTCACTTGAAATCTAGAGATGATTCAAGCCATTTCATTTTTTTTTTTTTTTACATAATACTAGAATCATAAATTACGATTACCCACTCTAATAAAATAGATAAAGTCGACAAAAAATACATTACTTATTTTCATATACATGTAAAAATATTGCTTTTCTTTCAGAAAATGAAAAACGTTTGGTGCGCTTCCTTAAGCTAGTGCGACTTTCCCGAGATGCCCTTCAAATATTTTTCTATGATGTTGGCTGACAAACAACACCTCATTGTGAATGGAGTAAAAAGAATACAAAAATACCATATACCTGTTCTTTATCAAGGTCAGGGTTAGGGTAATTAAAATAAGAGGCCCATAGGCCACAACGCTGACCTGAGTCATTTATAGCCCTTTTGTTTTTCACCACCTATTTTTAACCCAACATCCCCTTAACCCTCCACCATCATAAATTAAAAAAATCTAAATCTATGCCACCTGGGGATGTGCATTTATTGTTCCCAACCTATGCCTTCCCCCCTTCCCGCTGAAAATCATTATTTTAAAAAATGATATTGTTGATTTCCTTGATAGATAAATGCCTCATTTCTTGAGACATGCACATGTAATCCAAAATTTAACTGAACTGCACTACCATTCTCGTTGTAGAAGGAACAGAGCTGATTCTTGTGAGTTCGTAATCTCAACAATGTACACCTTGTTGAGAAATTATGCCGAAAATGTCGAACCTACAAGCAATGGATGGGGTAAAGAACCTAACATTGGCCAAAACGAAATGGAGACGATGTCGAAGGAATCAGATTTCACAGAAATTATCTGAGTCAGATGAAAGAGTTTAAACATGAGATGGATGATTTCAATTTAAAGTGGGAGGATCTTAAATAGGTGCAAATATATTTGGTTTTCTTCAAAATTTAAGGTTATATAAATTATATGTAATATAAATTAAACTTGAAGCAACCGTTAAGACAAGTCAAATGCTAGTATGAACCCTGGTGTATTCTTGAAAAAAATGTCAAAGAAGAAATTTAAGTGAAAATCGCCTTTAAAGGACGAGTGCACTTAAACAATGCTTAATTGGCCTTTTTATTGTGACATTTTACTTTAGAATATATTACAAAATGGCTTCTTTTTTTTTAAATAGGTAGATACTAGTGGATATTTCTAATTTAAAAGCACGACAAGCATCACCTAAATCAGCATGGATTTGAAACAATTGAATATTTTTAAATGCCTATGGACACCCTAAAAATCCTGGAAAGTCGTATCGAACCTTCTTTTTGTTTCGTTTATGTAACCTTGAACAATCTGATGGTGGATCATAGTCAGGCACGTTTGTTGAATGTAACTTTTTGTGCTATATCTGTTTTTAAAAAATTGAGAGAAGTTGTGTCGTGCCTGTAGCCATAATAATCAAACTAAGAAATTGGTACTCTTGCATTTGAAAAAATATACACAATAAAAGTTTCATTGAATTTGAAATCTAAAAGGAGTGTTTAATTGGCTTTTAATACATGTTTCATTGTCTTGCATAAATGTTAAAAATGTCTGACACTTTTATGAATGGCGCTAAACTCTCTTTACCCTACCGTTATCTTAGAAATAAATACATCGAAATGTTTCTAAGCGGCGCGACTTCGATTAAATGATAAAAAACCTGCACAGTTTTTTTTACAGTGAGCACCTTTGAGGAATGTTAACCTGGGTAGAACTCACGTGACTATAAGTATTTTAAATAATTTATTCCACAAGTGGGTTCAACATGGGTCATACAGTTAAATACCTCTCACTTACCATAGGAAAAGCATTGTACTTTTTGTACATTTTTAATATTTTAACTACCAGCCTAATCGTATACAAATTTGCTACTTTCACACAAGTTTTATAAATGTATTATGCGTCTTTTGTCATTCGCACAAGTTTGTACAAAGTTAGGCTCATAGTAAACAAAAGCTTTGAAATAAATACCCGTTCTCGATTAACTATAGAAAATCACATACGTCGGCTGACCCCTGTCGCTTTCTATGGTTTTGTTCTTTGTATATTCGTGAATTTCAGCGGTAAAATTTGTTGAATCTTACGGTTTAGATATCAATAAATTAATGATTTGGGATGAAAAATGTTGCTTAATTTGAATGTTTATTTTTTTCACATTTTACAGGGGCCCATAAGTGCACTCGTTCTTTATACTTTTAAAAGATATTTGAAATGAAAAAGATTTTTGTTGAGTATAAATAATCATTGGTGTCAAGTAATTTTGTACACATAATGATTAATACTGTTTAGTAATCAGACTTGGTATATTCTTTCAGGCCAGCATAAGTATGAGCAAAGGCTCACTCAGAGGGGAAGTAGCAGCACTGTCACCTTAACCCCACAAACAGAAATTGACATAATGACAAGTGACCAAAGACAAATCCTTCCTGCATAGCTGATTATGAGAAAACTTGCGTCTATAGATTTATTATGTTCCTTTCTTTAATCATTTTCAGATTTATTGAGGGGAAAAGCAAGACTTTTTAGATACTGTAATGATAAAGGGAAAATAAATTAAACAAGCATGTATCTGTAAATATATTCACATTCAACACTGATAATAGGAGTATATTGCGTATACACATAATACATGTAGATGCAAGTAGTTTGCGAGTTTATAACTTGAAATTTCTGCCAAGGCATTATTCTCTGCAAAATAAATGGAAAACTTTCTAGTGTTTCCTGAATAAACTACACATTTATGATTGAACTCTTGATAGAATAATGCAAATAAAATATCCCAATATAGATATATGAAATCAAAGACATTTAATGAAACACTCGACAAAACAGACGTTTGAAATAAATGGATGGTATGCACAGCAAATAAAATATGTCTGATATGTAAAATTGTACTTAGTGTAGGGAATGTGGCGGTATAATAACAATACTGTGTATTCAACATAATGAAGAAATAACACCTATTTATTGGCAATAGCGCCTTATCTCTGGGAATCTATTACAGATTCAGCACAATGTATATGTAAGAATGTGTTTAATACATATGTTATGATTTATTTTTAAGTACGCATTGAGGTTGCTAGCTTTATTAGGTAGTTGACAATGAAGTATATTCTCTTTTCTGCTACCATGGTTGAAATACTTACAGCTAAGTTGTTGTTTAGTTTTTAGTTTTGACTTAAAAATTGATAAAGAGGTGACAATTTGAGTTTTACATTGTACGAAACAATCCTTAATTATTTTTTTCAAGAACTCTTTTGATCGAAAAATTTTAGATTATAATATTCTCGGTAATATAGAAAGTTATTTAAAACGATAATATTCTTCAGGATCGAGGGCACAATTATGTAAAAGATATACATATGTATTATTTAAAAATTTATCCTCAAGGGAAAAGCAAAATCACCATTGGTCATATTAATTTCGAAGCAATTCCACGCTTTCAACTCAGTTCCTTACCTAAATGAACCACTTTTAAATAAATGTTTTAGTACTCATTTGATTTCTGCATTATTCTTGGGAAAGTGGCCATGTGAGAGTTCTGTACTACATGAACATTTGACCACGGAGTATTCAAAGTGCATTAAGCCCCTCCGTGGTGATAAAAAAAAATTAAAGTACACCGATACCCCTTAACTTTGGATTGTTTTTTGTCACATGGACTTTATTTATCTAATCAGAGGATATGTACCCCTAAAACAGATTAAGTCTATATAAATTTCAACTATTTCTTTTAAAGAAATATTTTTCTTTATGAATAAAAATGTTACGAAAACAGGAAAAATGAAATCATTATATCAAATATATTATTTATCACGAGACATATTTTTCCCATGACGCCTTTTCAAGAAACACGCTGTAACTTGTGAAATTTTACTATTTCTTTCACGCCATTATTAAACTCAGATATATCACTAGTGACGTACAGTATAGCATTAAGTCTAACATTTCATATCTTGGACTGCATGACAATCCTTTCAATGAAATTGTTTCACATGCAAAAACATTTACAAGTACTTTGCTATTTTTTCATATTGTAATAAGTCTATAGAAAGATAGTTATTAAGGTACAGTCTAAGAAAACACATTTTATCCCCTGGATCGAAAGATTCCGGGGATATATTGTTTTGCCCGTTTGTCTGAAATCTCTCAAATGCATGTCAAACTCCAAAGGTCAAAGTCAAAAGTGTTAGTATGCAAAGGAAGGTCTTGTTACAATGAATACACCTGTGAAATATAAAAAGCACTTGTTTAAACTGATCAAAAGTTATAACCAAGGTAAAAAAAAATTTTTTTTAATGATATATAACAGCCATGGCCCCAAACAATTAATAGTTATGGATAAGGTTAAAGTTGACAACCGACAAACAGAAAAACAGATAACAAACAGACTGACAGACATACAGGACAGAAAAAATATACTTCCGGGATCTATCTTTCGATCCGGGAGTATAATAACTCTAACTCCGAACGAAACATCAATTTGATTTGATAAAGATGTAGGATGGATGATACGATTGTGATTATTGTCAGAGTAAGCATCACTAGACATGCTTGTACACTGTCAGTGTCCCAGAAAGAGATTGTTCTCATCATACACACACACTGCGGGGATGGCGTATCCCTTGTTGTTTTGTCAGTAATAGAGACAAGAACTGACCGCCCCGATCAAGGAGGTGAACAGCGTTGTCGATACTATCACACACCAGGATGCGACCGAAGGCATCAGTACAAATTCCATAGGGAGCGAACTCTGACTTCTGACCTGTGTAGGAAAACCTGTATTGGCCTGATTTATTTACCACTACTACTGCCTTTTTTCCATAGTCTCATGTACAGATATCACCATTGATGTTTTCTATGATGTAGTGAGGCAATTTAAACAGTTCTTGCCCTTTGATATCCCTCTGTATGTCCTGTAGTTCTTTTCCTGTCTTGTTGTACCTGGTAACTTTACCCTCTTTATCCTTCACTTTTCCTACCAGTAAGTCCCCGTTGATGTTGGAGGAGTGTATGCTGAGTGGTTTCCATTCTCTAGTTTTAATGAATTCAGTTATATCATTATCCTGTGTTATCCTATTGATAACTTTTTTGTCTTTGTCTGTGAAGATGAGATCCCCATCTTGTGTAACTGTGTGGTAACCTTGATCCCTACCATTGGTTTTTATATTCTGTATCTCATTCCCCTGTAGATCTGTTTGCACAAGGATACACTCACTGTCACTGATCCAGAGTCTGCTTGACGGATCTTGTGCTACGTGGTGTACATTCCAAACACCTGGTAAATTGAACTCCCTGACCTTGGTGACAGAGGCAGATGAAGGCATTTCTAGTTTTTTGTCAGATTTCTTTCCATCTTCTTTCATTTGTGTATATGTATGTTTCATAGCTATATTGTAGACACTTTCAAAGGGCCTTATTTCTCTCTTCTCTGCTTTAGTTTTCGGGGCATGTATTTTAACAAGTAATTTGGTGACATCACTTTTAATATATTGCCCAGCAGTAAATCCTGGAGTGACTGCTTTTGTTGTCGCTGGTATGGATCGGATCTGTAATTTCTTCTCCGACATTAATTTCTGTGGTTCTGTAGAGGTCAGACATTTTTGGAGCTCTTTGATAAGGTTATTAAGATAAGTGATGTAATCATCCATTGTCTTGTCTTGGGTATTTAGATCTTCTAACAGTGAATTCTCTATCTGGTCTACCTGCTTCATCTTCTCATATATGACTGTGTCCACCAGACTTTTCAGGGCCTCACCTTCAGTCTTCATGGATGATCTTATATTGTCCATAATTTTCTTAATTTAAGTGGTATCTTGTTTTATGTCTTTCTTTAAATCCTGCGATATTGGAAGAAAATATCCTTGAATTTGGGAGAGTTCTTCCTTGTAAAACACCAACTTTTCAGCAAAGATTGTTTCTAGATCAACAAAGGTATGTCTTTGATGGTTCCCTGTTGTGGCACACTTGGAACACAATGGGGTTCGGCATTCTTTACAGAACATGTCCATATCTTTCATAGAGTGGATCTGGCATTTTTTACATGATGTTGTTTGATACGTTGCTGATAAAGGACTACTTCATGGTTCTTGCTTAATGGGCTTTTGAGATGCTCGTCTCTGCATTTTTTACACAACTTTATGTGACAAATGTTGCAACAGAACTCACAATTTCTTTCACAATCTTCAATGCCACACTCTAGAAAGTGCTGGGCTGTGCGTGGAATACCCAATTTAGATGAAGCCATCTGAAAACATATGAAGATTGCAAACATTTATCCGAGATCAAAAGTCCATAAAACAATGAAAAACAGGAGCATGCAAATGAAGTTTTTTGTATTGAAAATTTAAAGACTACAGGTACTGACGATAAAGTGAAAAAAACACATGGACGAACTTAAATATTACAAAACTTTCTATTGGTTTAAAGATGTATTCGAAATCAACAAATTATCTCGTATTTGTAAAGTATGAAAAACATACATGTACATATTAATAGTATAATGCTAAAAAAAATTAATATGGTGCCCTCTCCAGAATGTTGAAATGGAATGATTTCTAGGTTTTCATTATTTGATTCAGAACATATTTATTTCATTATTATGGAAAAAAGTCGCCCGCGTGGCGCAGTGGTCGGAGCATCTGCTCTAGAGTCGCGAAGTAGGGTGTCAATCCTAACGTCGCCAGTTAGAATCAAACTGTGGGACGTGGAGACCGATCCTTTGGATGAGACATATAAACCGAAGTTCCGTGACGCAGTAGGTGCTAGCACGAAAAAGATCCCTTACTGCTCAATGGCCATTTCGTGCTGAATATAGGAAAAAATTTGCAGCTCTCTATTTATTTATATAATAGTGTTGCATTATGCATGTACTATGCCTAAATAGTAGGCAGGGTTTGACACATGGTGCACGAGCCGGTGTAACGTTGAATATTGACCCGAGTTGAAAATTGACCCGGGGGTCATTTTTCAACGTTGAATATTGAACCGGGGTCATTTTTCAACGTTGAATATTGAGACTAAAAGTCGTTGAATTTATACCCGGGGTCATTTTTCAACAGCTTGATAATTTTTTTTCTTACACCTGATGACGTCAACAAGTTGAAAATTGACCCTGTTGAATATTGACCCCACCTCAAAGTTTGAACATTTTTTTTAGCTGGGAAGTTGTTTAACGGGATTTATTAGTATCACTTTATTAATACATTGTAATTCGTTTTCAATTTTTTCCCTTTTTAAGAATAATAGAAATAAACCTACAGTATCACCCCGTGTATATATGTACATTTTGATCAGTGTACGGTTTCAGTTATCTTTGCAGGGGCGTAGCAACGGGGGGGGGGGGGGGGGCAGGGGGGCTCCCCCCTTTTTTTCTCAACCTCACCTTTACTATAGCAAATGTTAACTGTAAACCTGGTTGGACCCCCAGTTCAAGTGATGTGTCGATAATGAAGTATTAAAATTGGTACTGAAAGTAGTTGACACTGAAAAAAGTTAGCCTCTACCCCCCCACCCACCCACCCACCCCCCTTCACCCACGAAATATAGGATTTTCGACTTTGGGCAACTTTCAATTCCCTTCCCCCTTTTTTTGCTTGTCAACTTTTCAGGTAAGTTAAAAAAAAATTTTCTCCGGCTGCCCCCCCCCCCACTTTCAAAGATGATGCTACGCCACTGCTTCAAGAATGACATCTTTATTTTTGAAAATACTTTCCAAAATCCATGGCATCTATAAAAAAACACTAAAAAACAACGAATAGGTACGAAGGCGTCTGCATGCCATTTTAACAATGTAGAATTTTTTTTAAAAATCGTTTGAACTATATAAGAAAACGTTTGTGCAATTTAATAAATCGTTTGTACAATTTGTTTGTTAAATCATACGATTTATCAAAATAGTTTGTACGTTTTTTTTATAAATCGTTTGAACAATTTAAAAAACCGTTTTTACGATTTAAGAAAACGTTTGTACGATTTATCAAAATAGTTTGTACGATTTAATAAATTGTACAAACTATTTAATAAATTGTACAAAGATTTAATAAACAAATTGTACAAAGATTTAAAAAACAAATTGTACAAACGATTTATTAAATTGTACAAACAATTTGTTAAATCGTACATTTTTTTAAAATCGTTCAAACGATTTTTTAAAAACTTTCTACATTGTTAAAATGGCACGAATACGCCGTCGAACGTTTCCTATTCGATGTCATTAATATTTAAAACAATCGGTTGCTAGTCGCTAATTTTGTCATTCCTATTCGATAATTTTTAGGTTTTTTTAATCGATGATTAATTGGTTTATATGCAATAAAGTTGTTGTTCGAAAACATACTACCATCATTTCTATTCGAAAAAAATACAATTCGTTAAACTTCTCACCTTATAACATAAATTTATCTCTATGATCTCCTATGCGATGTTTTTTAATTCTTTTTCAATAATTGCCATGATTGCATTCTGGGAAATATGACAAATTAAACTAGAATTAGTTGTAAACTCAATTAATTAGGAATGTAAAGTTTAACATTATTATCGAATATAAATCATATTATCACATAGATTGACAAAACAAAATTTTAAAATATTGGAAATAAGGCAGAAGTTTTCTCTCTTCAAGACTTAGAGACTAGAGATCAGCATAAATTAAGCTGTTGCTATTTAATATTAAATAAATGTGTTTCGTTTTATACATTGATGGAGTAAATATAGAGGATTTGGTTATTCAGAATACAAATTTATTTAAATGATTATGTCTTGTATCAATTTTTGACAAAGATATCAAATATGTCTTAATATAAAGTACATGTTGATCCTAATTCAGACTTAAAGTCATTGATACATCTCACCAATTACGGAACATTAAAAGATATTAATACAAAATGTAGTAATTTTTTTCAGAAATCAAGTCATTCTCTGTATTATCTTAATAATGTGATCAAGTTTGAGCCAATCAGAGAGCTTAGAATTAAAGGTGATATCACCTTTCCGTGCTAAATAGATGCTATCACCTATTTGTATAAGTGGTATCACCTATTCGAAAAGGTGATATTACCTATTTGAATTTCTTACAACAGTCATTAATGAATGCTCCCTATAATATATATTATACTACACTGGAACCAAGAAAATTCGGACTACCCAGTTTTCATACATTTTCTACGATTTTTTTTGTTGTATACATGATATATAAGTGAAATAAATTAATTTGTAAGCAAAAAAAAAAAAAAACTACAGCTGTTCGACGGGAAAAGGTGATATCACCCAATTGAATAAGTGATATCACCTTTTCGAATATTCAAATCAAATAAGTGATATCATCTATAGGAAGAGGTGGTATCACTTATTCAAATAGGGGATACTACTTTTGCAGTAAATACCAAAACGGGGCCTCATACCTATGAATTAAATCACAGTAGTGAAAACCCAATCATAAATATGTGTTTTTATGCTGTTGAATTTTGAACCGGTTTCATGATCAAAATTCAACGACCCGGTTCAGTTTTCAACGGATTAGGGTCTAAATTCAACACCTTCGGTATCAATATTCAACGTTGAAAAATGACCCCCGGGTCAATTTTCAACCCGGGTCAAAATTCAACGTTACACCGGAGGCGAGTGCACTATGTGTCAAACCCTGCCTACTATTTAGGCATAGTACATGCATAATGCAACACTATTGTTATTATTATGCTGACTGTTTTAATTATTTATGCGGCAATCCATTTGATTTTTTCCTGAAAATAATGGTGGTAACACAGCGCACTTGCAAAAACTCATTCAAAATCTTCCTGCTAAAATTAGTTGCATGCTTAGTTATTTTGGTTACTAGTATTTTCTCTAAATAAGTCAGAATTTTCTGTCCCAAAGATACTCATCTTTATTTTCTGTTTTGTTAGTAAGACCGATTTGTTTACAGACGTGGATTCTCATTGATAATTTTCTTTTACATCCTTCAATCAAGCGCTATATAAAAAAGCGTTTTAATGACCCCATGATATCAATTCATCTAACGATCTGTATGTAATTAGTTTGAAACTTTGTTGTACACATTTATCTAAGATTCCTTAGAATAAATATAACTGTTTTCAAATAATATTGGTTTATTTTCTCCTTCTTATGTCAATTGTATAAATTAAGTTTATGCATTTAATAAAATTCACCCAGACAGTGATCGTCTCTGTGGCGTAATCGATAAGGCATCGGACTGGCGACCTCGCGGTCGTGAGTTCGATTCCAGGCGTGTGCAGGGAAGAATTCTATTCAGAAAATAAGGCCGTGCACTATTTCGGCATAGTATGCTTACGCTATATAAATCCTTAGACCACTATGCGAGAATAGTAGGGTATGGGTTATAATTAGAGACAAACTGACAGGAAGCATAATAATATGCAATAAGTGATGGCGTCTCCATATGAGTGAGTAATTCTCGAGAGGGACGCTAAACAACATACAATCATATTTTTATGAAAAAGATTGAAATACAGTCGTTTGGCCAGTTCCAAATTTTGACCAGTCCGAATAATAAGTAATTTAAGAGCTCATTATTAATAAGTTCAAGGTACAAAAATAAAATGATACCTTTCAGTAAAAAGGCTTGTTTATAAGTGTTTGAATAATGAGAAGTTTTGATTTTCTGCCATCAGTTTGAGTTCGTTATCGTACTTGAAACAGTCGACATACTTTAGATTGCAACAAATCTGAATCACTTTGACGTATATATCTTCAGAAAACCCTCTGTATGGACGTCAATTGTTCAATTAAAACAAACATTCAGGTATCAAAAGTT